TCAGACATAATGTAACTAAAATTAAAATAAATAACAAATACAAATAATACAAATCAAACGACAGTAGTTTATCAGTAATCCTAAAAAATAACACTGCCAAACACACATGCTAAAAAAAACAACTTACTTACACGTAGTAAGATATGGTTATAAAAACTGAAACAGAAGCGTAACAAGTAATAGGAAAGAGGAGAAATAAAAAGCGATACACCTATACAGACATAATAAATTCAGACATAATGTAACTAAAATTAAAATAAATAACAAATACAAATAATACAAATCAAACGACAGTAGTTTATCAGTAATCCTAAAAAATAACACTGCCAAACACACATGCTAAAAAAAAACAACTTACTTACACGTAGTAAGATATGGTTATAAAAACTGAAACAGAAGCGTAACAAGTAATAGGAAAGAGGAGAAATAAAACGCGTTACTTATTTTTTGCCAGTGTCCTGCTCGGTGGAGTCGCACGGTAGAGTCGATGGTCTTTACACTCTTCGGTCTGCACACGAGGAGGCCGTCACGCGACCGCTGCCGCGGTAAACTAAGCTTTTTTATACCCGTCTAACAAAATACTAAATTAATTCAGCTGGACACACTTTCCTTATTTTTTCACAACAAATGGCCAAGCAAGCGCAGACACTGACGAGATACGCGATACAGAACGAGACCAAACGCGATGTCAGCACGTCTCCACACAGTAAACAAAACAGGCATATTAAAGACATTAATATTGTTACAAAACATTTCAAATAAAGACTGGAGTTATGTCTGTTGAAAATTCAGCTTTGGTATAACAGGAATAAATTTAAGCATTTTAAAATGTAATGAAATACAAATCAGTTCTTTTAAATTGTAATAACATTTCTATGGAAGCCCGTTTCCGCCACTGAATAAAAAATAAAAAAGGTAATTTTTTTTCTCAAAATTGCGTGATATAAACTCAAAATTGCGAGTTAAAAAGTCATAATTGTGAGACATAAAGTCACAATTCATGTGACTTTATGTCTCAACCCCCCGCCTCAAAATTAGACTTTAACTCGCAATTACGAGTTTATATCTCACAATTCTGTGAAAAAAGTCAGATTTGTGCAATAAAAAGTCGCAATAAACGTTTTTTTCTTTTTTTATTCAGTGGCGGAAACGGGCTTCCATACATTTCACAATATTGCTGTTTTTAATGTATTAGAGATTAGAGCACAAGAGGCTTTCAAAAACCTTCTTTGCAAAATCTTACCAAACGTTTGAAAGGTAGTCTAGCCGGAATGTATGCATATTCAGATACTGAACTGGCCCCTGAAGTTTTCTGGACTCAACTGCATCCACCAACCAGAATGTAATCACACTAAGCAAATTGTCCATCACTTAATACACATTACACAAAAAGATAGCCACTAAGACTCACACACAATATTTGTCATGAGTAACTTTGCTAACTCTGAGAGATGGTGGTATGAGCTCTGTCATCAGGAGCATTTATCGCTATTGGACTCCAGATTATTTAACTTGGTGTCTGCTGTGACGAGTAAATGCAGTTGTCAATGCCAAACACTGATTATGTGAATGTGACCTTAGACCGAGACTAGATTAGACCTTACATCTGTCTGACTTTGAATGTCTTTCCCATTTAATTTATTCTGTTTGTTTGTATTTTATTCTTCAGCCCAAAGATGAGGGAAAAGAGGTGTGTGGTGTTTCTCTTGCAGTTGAAATGTTAACATTCCTGTATTTATCTCAATTCTAACATTCAGAAGCGTCTGTGCAATCGATGATTTGCTCAGCTGGATCATTTTTCTCTCTGTGCCTTTTCTTTTGTTTTCCCGTGTTATTTTCACTCTGTCCCTCGGTAGAAAGAGGCAACAGTCCACACAAAAAAGGTGCGATAATCATCATGGGTGTATGTGTGAGTGAGACTGTGTCATGTTGTTTTGCTAGAAGCCTGGCTATCTCTTTCCTCCTCCTGAGACTTTCCCTATCACTGTGATGGCATAGTGCAAATAGACGTTCAGACAAACACGCATTTATGATCAGTTCAGTGCATTCATTGGCCACAAGTATTTGTTGACTTAAGCCACAATTAAAAATGTAACAATTTCCACTAAATTTTACAACCAGAAAGTGTCCAAATAAAACTATATCTGAAATAAACGAATATATTTGTATACGTTTGCTTAAAAAGCTTGCTTGTGCAACCTTTCTTTAATGTAAATAGCATTTGGTTTGATACTTTATCACAATGACGTTCATATATTGTGGTTCAAGTGTCCAAATACTTTTTGGGGCCGCATTCTTGTGCAAATAAATGATAAAGATGCTATTGTTCTATATTTTGAAAGTCTAATTGGTGCTTTCCGTCTTTGAATAGCCATAGGCTAGAAGACAGAAAGCAAACAAAACCTACTTATAAGTTTTCTCTGTTCTACCACCCTGAACCAAATCTACATCCCTTACTGTCGATATTGTGCGACGTTTTAATTGTTCTTTCTCGGCAGCATTAAATTGGATAAACAAATTTGTCCAAGGTTCATTATGGGAATGAAAGCGTAACTTCCTCACTCTTTGTTTTGGTATTTTTACACCTGCTTTAATTAAGCTGTTGTTGGATCTGACAGATATATTGCGGAATATGTTTCTTACCGTTGAAAAACGACTTTAATAGAGAATGTTTCCAATTTGTTTCACTTCCCTGATGCTGATGCACTTGCAGAACCATGACAAACAGACATGGTTACATCTTTTCCTTGCCTCTCCGCGCCTCTGCCTAGTTTAAATTTGATATTTTCTATTAAACTAGCACTTCTTCCCGTGTGTGTGTGTGTGTGTGTGTGCATGTGTTACTCTCAGCAGCTCGACTCGGAGGCTGCAGATATCCTCAGTGACCTGCAAGGGAAGCTTAATTCTGTTCTGGATAACCTGAGTGGCATGTTTGCCAAGAGGTAAACTTAATTTTCTGAGCCTGAATTTCATCTGAATATCATTATTACAATGCTTCTGAGTGTTCTGCTTATAAATACCACCTGTGTCAGAAAATCACTATTATTTGTTTTTTTTACTTTAATTCTAAAAATATTTTATTTTGATGCATTTTGAATGCATCTATAAACATAAACTATAAATTAATACAATATAAACATTGCACTACAGAAAAATCTATTTTGGAAATAGTGTGGTTATCTCTGTCGTCTTGCTTGTTGGACTAATTTTTAATCTTACATTTTTCCCCCACATACCATTCCTATGTCCCTCTCGCTCTTTCTGTATGTGTATAGTTTCCAGGCTCGTATGAATGCATGTGTGCGTCAGATGGCGGAGATCCTGTATCAGATTAAAGGACCTCTGAATCAGAACACTCGTAACACAGCGGAGGCTGATGCAGACAACGTACTGCGGCCGCTTATGGAGTTCCTCGACACAAAGTCAGTTCAGCTCAACTTCCTTTAGTAGCTTTTAAGACCAGTTTCCGATCAGTTGTCAATTTTTTCACACTAAGGTGTCTCCGTGTGTGTGCCTATTTCTGTTTCTTGGCACACTTGGTATTCTAAAAAAAAAAAGAGTAGAGAAAAGTGAAATAATAACCTGTCATTAGTTCAGTGGTTCTCAAACTTTTTTGGTCGCGCCCCCCTTTAAACCTATAAAAAAATCTGGTGCCCCCCCCCACCCTTCCCGAATCCCCATCCCACCTGAGACTACCAAAAAAATGTATGCTTTTTTAATTTAAAAAACCTACAGGGAAAAAAAAACACCTGCATCACTTGAAACATTGAAAAATACCATAGAGATTAACTGTTATTATTATTATTATTATTCTCTCTGTTATTTATTAATTTATTGTGGGTTTCATGCTGTCCGCTAAGGCATAGGACACACACAGGCTTTCCTCCTCACCAACAACATAAAACACCGTGTCTACACCGGACACAAGCGGCAAAATACAGTAGAACCCATTATAATCAGTGACGCTGTGTACACTGCGACACGACACGCCAAATCCCAGACAGTAAACTGATGCCTTGTTCTATTTATGACGTACTGACACAAAGTTAAAATGATTTGCAACGGTCGCTTTGTCGCGTCCAGTGTAGAGCTGTTGCGGCGCGACGTGTAGCGTCCGGTATAGACACAGTGAGTGAAGCCGAGAGCAAGATATACCTCGTCATATTTTCTGCATTTGAATGGCCAGCACCTGCCTGGGTCTGTGCGACTTCATCTATGTCTTTTCTCTTCCCTTTCACAAACCGATCCATCTCCCATTCTAAGTTACGTCCTTTGGTTTTATTTCTTTTCTTTTTCTGCTGATGGCCCGCGCCCCCCCCTGGCAGGCACGCCCCACACTTTGAGAACCACTGCATTAGTTGAATAGTACTGTATCTCATAAATTCCCCAGAGAAATTCCCCCGACTGCCGAATGTAAAATGTACATACACATGTCTGTTTGCGATGTGTGTTGCAGCCTCAGCATCTTTGCGGACATATGTGACAAGACTGTGTTGAAGCGTGTGCTAAAGGACCTCTGGAGGACTGTTCTGATCTGCATGGAGAAAACGATTGTGTTACCTCAGAGCAGCGACAGTATAGTGAGCTATTTTACAGGACACATATACATGACGTTTAGTGTAAAATGATTCTCTGTCCCTGCTCTCAGAACAGCATGTATGCTCTTTTACTGGCACAAAGTGGTCATTATCAATGCTTATTATTATTTCAATTGTCAGTGTTAGTATACTATCTAGGAAAAGCAATGAGTACAGGACTCAAGCATTCAGAAGTGACAGCGATGATCAATCATGAAAACACAATAGTTCCTTTTGTGTTATTTATTCAGTTTTTCAGTTTTTATTTTATTTTAGATTTATTTTATTGTAGAATTTTGCATTTGCAAAAAAGAAAAAGAAAAAAAGATTGTCACAAACGAGAAGTGACAGTGGTGATTGATCATGAAAATAATTCCATAACATTTCCTCAAAATGAAAATGTTATTTTATTTTTACCATATTTGATTTATTTCTACATTTATTTTATTTTAAAAAAGAGCCTAATTTTTCTTGTTTTTTGAGAAGCCCTTTTCTACCTGGTGGTAACTTGTCTGATTTGTTAGACTGCAATTTCCACAGTGTTTTTAAGTTCAAACTATATTTTAATTGAGATGGCATCTGCGCTGCTCATGGCAAGTTGTTGAAATAAAAATGTCTAGGAGATAAATGTTTGCATAGTATTAGACTTATACTTGTACTAGAGTAGACAACATGGCCATAATGGCCTTTCTATAGTTAACATACTTTTGACATTTAGGATGTTAATAATATAATATTTGTCAGCCAATACTGGCAGGTAGAGGTTTGAAATAATAATAATTATTTTTTTATTATTACAGGGAGCTCAACTTCTTACTGCTGCTAAGGAACTGTCTAAACTAAAGGTATTAACCATAAACACTTGAAAGGTATAATCTATAGCCTAAGGCAGTGGGTGTGGCTAATGCTTCTCTCTCATTATAGGGAGGGGTGGAGCCAAAGAGCTTGTCACCAAGGCAATGTGTGATCTTGGAGGCAGCACTGGATTCAATCAAGGTGTGTTGGTGGATATGGCATGCATGCTGAGTTCCAACACGTTGAAGTGTCGAGTGTCTGCTTAAAAACAGAACTGTCACACCAAGTCAACACATTGCACACTAAGTGTTTGGGTTCTTGGGATCGGTGCGTCATTAAAGTGTGTGGGAAGGAGAGAGAAACTGAAAGAGTCTGAGAAAGATGCTCACCACAGGCATGACTTCTCACACATAATATTGTGGTCAGACAAAATAAGTTACTGTGAACTGTAGCACCTTTTGCAGAAGGAAATTCGTGCTAATTTTCTCTCTCTAACCTGCTACTGGGTAGATCTTCTTCCATGCTGGTGGAAACGGTTTAAAGAAAGTGTACCTGGAGAAAAGCCCTGAGCTGTCGTCGCTGCGTTATGCTCTCTCCCTATATACACAGACCACAGATGCTCTTATCAAGGCGTTTGTGACAACACAGCATGCTCAGGGTGAGATACATACACTTGCACACGTTCAGTGGCTGACTTTTATCAACCCTTGCACATGGCCACACAATCTGTATAAATTATTTGACATTTGCAAGACTCATAGATTTTTAAAATGAAACATTTTTTCTTGCAGTTCAAAATGGTATGGGCATCAGGATCACCCCCAAGGAGAATGTTCGACCCGACAGAGGTGGGTCGAAGATTCGTTCATCCTTGACTCTTTGAAGGGCTAGAAAGAGAGAGAGTCTGAATTAAATACAGAAATATAGGAACTTGTGGGGAAAATGGAATAAATTAATAAAATAATAAAAAATAATATACAATAATTTAAAGTATACATGCATACAATCAAAAGTTAAGGGGTCAGTAAGTTATTTTTTTTAGTCTCCTATGTTAAAAAGGCTATGATAATTTCACCAAAAACAGTAAAATAGCAATATTGTGTAATATCATTTTAATTTAAAATAAGTGCTTTCTATTTTAATATATTTTCAAGTGTAATTTATTCCAGTGATCGCTAAGCTGAATTTTCAGCAGCCATTGCTTTAGTCCTAGTGTCTCCTCATTCTTCAGAAATTATTGTAATATGCATTTTTGCTGCTCGAGAAATATTTCTTATTATTCTTAGCGTTTTTTTTAATTGTTAAATTTTTTTCACGTTTTCACGTTTGTTTGAAATGGAAATCCTTTGTAACATATTGAACAGTAGTGTGTTAATATATGTGTGTATTTTTTTGTGAATGCATATATATATATATATGTACACATTTATCAAAAATATTTTTCAAAATTGACTCTCTGATGCCTTTGATATTTTTAGCATTTTATGAAAAGATTGAATTTCTCTTCCAACAAATCCACTGCTCATTACTTGATTCTTCATTAAATATTTTGTCTAATTTGATTACGCTTAAGCTACCACTAGTTTTACTATATCAATTGTAATGACACATTTTACAGCATTTCATTAAAATCCGTTCCTTAGCATTCCATATTTTTAACCACACTCACAGTATTAAGTGTGAAAACTACATACTGTGTGTTACCCTGGAGACCCTGGAGTCTTAAGTCGCTGGAGTATATTTGTAGCAATAGCCAAAAATACATTGTATGGGTCAAAATTATTGATTTTTCTTTTATGCCAAAAATCATTAGGATATTAAGTAAAGATCATGTTCCATGAAGATATTTTGTAAGTTTCCTACCGTAAATATATCAAAACTTCAGTTTTGATTAGTAATATGCATGGCTAAGAACTTCATTTGGACAACTTTAAAGGCGATTTTCTCAATATTTAGATTTTTTTGCACCCTCAGATTCCAGATTATCAAATAGTTGTATCTCGGCCAAATATTGTCCTATCCTAACAAACCATGCATCAATGCAAAGCTTATTTATTCAGATTTCAGACCATGTATAAATCTCAATTTCGAAAAAATGACCCTTATGACTGGTTTTGTGGTCCAGGGTCGCATATATTTGATTATAATATGTTGAATATACAGTGTTTGTGAAATGAAGTGGTTTGATTGACAGGCTCTGGGGTCGAGCGGCCGATTGGGGAAGCGGTGATTCAGCTGGATTTGTCGCCCCCAGCTGGAAACACTGAGCAGAAACTCGGCGTCCGAGGTAAGAGCTAAATTTAGGACTCTTATCTGTGCATTTAAGTGTCTGGTGAGATAATGACAATTTAATCAAGTCCCCCTGGTGTCTTTTTATGAACTCTTTATCTCTTTCTCTTCCAGTGATTGCAGTAAATGACATGAAATGGCAGACCTCAGGGATGTTTCGTCCATTTGTGGATGTTAACCTGGTCGGCCCACAGCTTACAGAGAAGAAACGAAAATTCACAACCAAATCGAAAAACAACAGCTGGACTGCAAAGTACAACGAGGCCTTTCAATTGTGAGTAAAAACGCGTCTACTCGCTTTGAAATACCAGCATTTTCTATAAGAACAATACTAATACTTACTAGCAGTTAAACTATTATAAAAAAAAAATATATATATATATATATATATATATATAAAAAAAATGTGTATTGTTTCCTTCCTTTATTTCAATCAGTGTGTTGGGTAAAGGCGTGAGTCTGGACTGCTATGAGATTCAGATATCGGTGAAGGATTATTGTTTCGGTCGTGCGGATCGGATGGTCGGGATCGCAGTACTGCAGCTGCGAGACATAGCAGACCGGAAAAGCTGCGTGTGCTGGTGCCCCTTGGGTCCGCGTATCAACATTGATGAAACCGGGACCACCGCACTACGAATCCTCTCTCAGCGCTCAACTGATGAGGTTGCCAAAGAGTTTGTCAAACTAAAGTCTGAGACCAGACCTGCTGAAGAGGGGAGGTGAAGATGAAACTCAAGGTTGACCGCCTCAATTTGTCATTAGGATTAAAGCGGACTGATTAAAACAGAAGAGACTTTGATAATACGAGACGAATGAAAACACTGACAGGCAAACAAGCGTTCACAAACCAATCACACAAGGACCTACACTGTTTATAAAATTGCGTATGTTTATTCAAAGCCTTAAGAGTCACTTAACTGTCTGACTGGCTTTGCATCGCACTCTACATTATGGGCAACAACTCACAAAATGAGTGCTAGCGTTGAGAATAGCGTTCCCACCGTCATGGAAACTCTGGAAATATCAGGGAATTTTCAGATGTTGGTTTCCAGGCATGAAAAGTCAGTATTTAAATATTTAATCAGAAATCCCAGCATTTTTGTATGTAGTTAAACAACTTGAAAATTCATGGAAATATTAAGAACTCTTAAAAAGCCAGAATACTAAAATATTTTGTTGGCTAGAAATTGATATTTGTGAGAGCAGTCTCTGTTTTATGAAAATTATCTCGTTAATCAAATGACTTGAAAAGTCGTGCAAATTAAAAAAAACTTAATATTTTGCAATATGCAAAATATTTTGTTGGCTAGAAATTTATTTGTAATCTGCATTTTTTCACAAAAATGATCTAGGTATTCAAATGACTGGAAAAGTCATGAAAATAATACAAAAAAAGTCTTAAAAAGTCGAAACTAAAATGATTTGTTGGCTAGAAATTGGTATTTGTGAGTGCGATCTCTGAATTCTTTGCAACAATGTTTACAAAATTATCTAGTTTATCAAACAACTTGAAAAGTCATCAAAATTTATTGGTAAAAATGTGTGGGAGCCCTGTGAGAAGAGAAAAGCAGAACGCTACGCATTTTACTGAGCACTTCACAGTTATTTCAAACGCATCGTAATGAAAGGTATAAATGACATTACAAAAAAAATGTGAGAAGATGCGAGAGTTTTGTTAAACATGAGTCTATGGGCTCATTCCACATGTTCTCCGTGGCCTTCTGAATGGGAGGAGTCTTATAGCAGGGGGAGTGGTCTAACAAGATTGATTTACATTGGCTGCCTATTCTTTGATTGCCAGGCACAGATATGCACATTTAGACACATGTTTTTCTCTATTGGTCTTGTTCATTAATGTGTTCTTGAAATCTTATCTGTGATACCTTCAATATATTCATCACCTTAACTTGAAAGACACTTCTAATAGTCTGACTGCTCCAAAGATCATAGTAATCCCCCCAAGTCTCAAAACAGATAAATACGCAAGTAAATAAGGACAAATATAGACCAGCCAGTAGTGGCAGCCAATGAGAAGGGATGTACTGTATGAAACTGTTTACCTTGTGCCAAGTAGTTTGTATGCTCTCTTTTTTGAGGTGTAATGGAGTTATGGTTCGTTTTGTTTGTAATATATGCACAACCAAACAGGCGTAAACACAGTCTGTAAAGTAGACTACCACATGTGCATGCATTTATTGTAAAATCCAGCTTTTGGTCATATGTTTATTTATGTTTTGTCAATATGTGGAAAGCTATTTCTGTACTTTAAGCTATGGAAGAGATCACAGATTGAATTGATATTCTGAATTTATTTATAAATTATTTATGAATTAACGTGCGACTCTGATCTTTCTTTCTGATGTGCATTTGGATGCATAGATCTGTGGTTGTAAAACCTACACTCATTCTTTCTAACGTTCGATATGACTACGGTTCTTCCTCTTAAACCATTTCCTCTCTTCCTTTGTCTTTAGCATTTAGCAGCAGAAACATGTCATTTTGAGTGTTCCTTCTCTCTTTAGCAGTTCCTCTAGAGGAATCCGATCCTTGCCCAGCTTTGTTGTTCAAAACCACCAGGCCATTTCACTCCTTGACCTCTGCCTTTAATAAGGTGATCTGTTTTAAAAATCAGTGAAACGGAGGTAAGACTCGTTTCTGTATAATGCAGATCAATTATTTGCATTTAATGTTGGTGTATTTTGATGTGGAATACATATATTTAATAGTGGGTGAATTACATTAACGTGCCCCTATTATGGGTTATGAAAGGTTCATATTTTGGTTTTAGGAGTCCCCAACAACAGGTTGACATGCATGCAAGGTCAAAAAACACTTTCATTGTCTTATAATATGCTTTTTTTTTTTTTACCTTACTTGCTCAACAACTCCCAAACGATTTGTTAAACGATAAATTTTTCCAAACCCCTCCTTTGCGTGACGCTAATCGGCGGTGATTGGTCCGATTGGTCTCATTTTCATTTCATCTTGCTTGTAATGCCTGATAAAGCAGCGTTTGTGAGCGCAGTGCTGCTTTGTGTACAGTGTTACCGGGGAAACAGCTACCGCTCCAACAGCGGCACCTAGTGGCAAAGAATGAATTTACATTTTCATTCAGACCAACCTTGAAAAGACCAACAAGTGGGCGGGGCAATATGCTAATGTTTCATTTTGACTTCAACATGAAACGGCTTGGGATTCGTTTTAAAAACGACTCGTTTCAATGATTCAGAGTCGACTCTTTCTTTTGAGAGACAATAACTTTATACACGGTGCACTTACAGATTTAAAACTCGGCAGTTTGTTTTCATTCACGTAGATGTTACACACTGCATGAAAGGTAACTTTCAAAAATCCATAATAGGGGCACTTTAATGTTGTGGCATATACTTTTTCACATCTAAAGTAAAGCTATTTACATGGAAAAGTGTTTAATGACAGTAAGTACTCTTTGTGTGTATTTGAGAGACAATAACTTTATACACGGTGCACTTACAGATTTAAAACTCGGCAGGATGTTTTCATTCACGTAGAGCTGTGTTACACAGCAAGAAAGGTAACTTTCAAAAATCCATAATAGGGGCACTTTAATGTTGTGGCATATACTTCACATCTAAAGTAAAGCTATTTACATGGAAAAGTGTTTAATGACAGTAAGTACTCTTTGTGTGTGTGTGTGTGTGTGTTAGTATGCTCAAGAGTGTTTAATAGTTCAGATTAGTATGATTAACCTGTTTTCTTTTCTTTATAATAAGGTTACCTATAGTCATTTCCTCATAAAACATGTTGCATGCATTTTTGAGCAGTGCTGTATCAGGACTATTTTAATGATTATTCACTTACTGGACAGAAATAAGTCACTGGCCTGTGATAGCTTTCTACCTAAATTTATGCTTGAATACTTGGTTATAGTTTTGCGGACAAATTCTTTCCCAGAAGTGAACAAAATATTATATATATATATATATATATATATCTGAGGACTTGCTTGACTGTGTAACTGATTATAATTAGCTTTATATAAAAACAGAAGTCCTTGTTTAGATGGTTAAGTAAACATGTATATTGTGTGTGTTTAGTCTGTGTGTGTGTGGCCTTGTGGTCATAGTGAACATGCTCAGTACTGCTGTACTTTGTCAGCGGTTAGAGGAATGGGGGAAAAAATGGCTAGCTTCACTTTTTGGTGTGCAGGAAATCGATACTTTTCTAGCAAGTAAGTGGGTGAGAGAGAGAGAGAGAGAGAGAGAGAGAGAGAGAGAGAGAGAGATGTATAGAGATCTTAAAAGTTTTTTTACACCGGAAGACCAAGAGTAAATGTTACCTCAGATAAACTATCACTAGAGTGGAGCAAGAAAGAGAAACACAGAGGAGAGCATTGCAAGTTGCTGCCCCTCTTCCTTGTTTATGTGTGTGTGTGTGTGTGTGTGTATGTGTGTGTGTGTGTGTGTGTGTGTGTGTGAGAATGAGTCTAGGCTGGATGCCTGCACTCCCTGTTTCCCATCAACATAAAGTGAGAGCAGATGGAAGACTGAGAAGCGAGAGAAAGGAGGAGGAGAAAGAGAAAATAAAAGGGCAAGACAAAGAGGAGGAGACTCTTTGGCTGACTTTGGCGATCTCTGGCTGGAGAAAGAAGTGCCACACTAGACCTACACACACTACGATGTCACTGTAGGACATTTACGGTAAGAATCCTGAGGGTAAAGGTGGGGTCAAGGTCAGTGGAGGGGGATTCGTCAGACAGTCCTGGAAAACACAGGAAGTAATCTTGTGGGTGTGAGTGTGAAAGAGTTTTTTCTCGTCTGTCAGCAGTCTTAAAAGGGGTTCACGTAATACACAGCCTGAGGACGAGTTTTGGTTTTTGTTTTCGTTGCTAATATTTGGTGTCAAAATAGACTAAAAACGTTGAGGTGTTTTGAAATGTGCATTCTGTTGGATTGTACAACTTTTCTAACCAGCCTGCTGCTGAGAAACACATGGCACACAGGGTTTAACTCTCCTGAAGTTACCTGATGTAAACCACTGCTGTTCTTTTGTGACAAAAAAAACTTTATGAATACTTGAATGCATATTTTAATTTGATCACTTATTCACAATAGTGATAACACAAGATTAAATGTTTGAAATTCTACGTAACTCACATCTTAATTTTGGCAGGTCATGTAGTGTACTACACCTCAAACTGACTGTGTCTTTTTAGTGTGGGGTCTCTAGGGATTATATCATATAAATATAAAAACTATATTTTATATATATATATAATGATATTATATATAATATTAATTTATATATTTTTAAAAAATTGCTTGGGCATCAAATTATCATATTAGAATGATTTCTAAAGCATCTTGTGACACTCAAACCTGGAGTAATTCCAGCCGTTACACACAAAGTAAATATCCAGACAATATGCCCTTTACACTTTAATATACACAAAAGATCATCTTCAATTCTTACCTTGACGCTATTTGGCCTTCTAGACCAGAACAGCGTTACAGCCGTAGGTTCAGTTGTGAATGTGTACTCGGGTGATTTCGGAAATGACGGAAAAAGCCGATGCACATTAATCTTTGAAAAAAAGACAAAAACATTTTATTACGTCAGATTGTTCTATAATATAGGAAATTCATACACGTATGTTCAAATACATTAATATATTAAATACATTTTATATGATTAATCTAACTTTTGTCGTTGACCTTTTACATTTATTCGTCGTCATTTCCGCTCATAAAAACGGTCGTTTCCGTCTCTTATTTCACGTTAAAAGCCAACCAGTCAACACGGTTTTCGGTATCTGTGAAAAACGGTAGATGATTATCGTGCCGTCTTTATTATCTATAAAAGTTAAGCTTTCCATACCTAGAGCAAATTGCTATAAAAAATGTTCCATTTTCGTATGTTTTTGCAAAAATGTCAAGAGTGGGCGGAGTTATGGCGTCAGCGGTATTAAGACAGTCTCGCGTTCTTTTCTCGTTCCTTCGCTCTTCCTCCAAGTTCAGGGTTCCACGTTTGTACACGAGGTCTCACCGGTAACTTCTAACAATGGGCTTTGGTGATCTCAAAACACCCGCTGGACTCAAGGTTCTGAATGAGTTTCTGGCAGACAAAAGTTACGTCGAGGGGTAAGCTATTTTAAGACTTTATTTATCAAATCTTCTTCGTTGGCTTGCAACAACTTGTGATTGTCCTCTTTTTCTTATGCTGTAATACTAAAATAATTTTGGATGCAGTTATAAATGTCAAAGGTCATGGTTATTAATTTTCGTAGCTATGAATAATATGTACTCTACCGGTCACAAGTTTGGGATCAGAACGATTTTTAATGTTTTTTTACAGGAGTTTCTTATGCTCATCAAGGCTACATTTATTTGATCAGAACTACAGGAAAAAATGTAATATTGTGAAATATTATTATGACTCTCCTCCTTTTGCTGTACCTGAGTGCCGTTGTAAGGATTGGCTGAATTATTCATCAGCTCTTGTCTTATAGATTTTCCGTTTAGTTGTGATTTATCGCTTTAATGCCTTTACTAAACATTTTTTAAGATGAAATTGTTAATTGGCTAGGCGTTCAAATGCAAGCAAGCTCATTTAGGCAAGGCAAGTTTATTTATATAGCACATTTCGTACACAATGGTATAGCCATTTAATATGTAAACTACAGGGAAAGTTGTCTATCTTAGTCTTAGCCACCTTTGCCTCCGTTGGCCTGATTCAGGCTGAACCTATCAGACCTCCTGAAGCTCTGTGGATGAGTTTTGCATGGTTTGCATGTCTGAGGGACACTTTGATAAACGCAGATTTAATTTCAAGCTTAACTTGATGTTCCAGACCTGTTTTAATCTTGCGTGCAGTGATCAATTTGAATGTTGTATAGTATATTGATGGTTTAGTGTTTAGTGCTGCACTTGTTGCTAATCTTTTAGCTTTCCCACAGACTGTACAGAGACTGCATTGTACAAGTGTTCACTTGTTTGTCATTAGCACTTCCTTCTATTGTATGATCTTTCAGCAGTTAATCAAAATGTTGCATTTCACAATGTTTTTCTCCATTCCCTCACAATTAACCAGACTTGAGTTTGAGTTGCACTGTTAGTGTTTGTGCATTCAGGGTTTATACTGTTACCCTGCATTGATTTGTATATATTATATTAGATTAGATTAGATATATTGATACATAGATACACTGTAGACACACACAGTGACATTTACTTTTGTCTTCAGTGGTATTCTAAAGAACCCCTTGTTCAATGAACTGCCCTACTTTCAAAACCCCTTTAGTGGTTTTAGTGTCTGTGTTTTCACACCCTCATAAATTGTCCTATTATTTATCTTTTTTTGTAATTAAAACCAACATTTATTAAAAGTAACAGCATGTAACACTTTAACTTCATTCATTCATTCATTCATTTGCATGCTCTTTTGAATCTGTTATGACGTCTATGGCCCAGTTTACAGTCAAATAGCCCTCAGGGCACTGTAAATTATCTGAAGTGGTGTGGAACAATAGTGACCAGAGCATGCCAGCACACACACAGGCATGTGGGGTATTCTGAGACACACAAAGCTCATCAGGAGACAGGATCGTACTTCTTTTGTATGCATATTTAACTTGAATTCACTCAGATGTAAGCCAGGCACGCATGTGTACACACTCATTTGCTTAGCATTTTTTTTCACATTTCACAAGAAAACAGGAAAAAAGATTTAATGTTGGCTTTGTGTCAAAGGTGGAAACCGAGAGTGCACACAATAGCCCCTCAGAAAACTCACACACACACACACACATATGACTGCATTTGACTTCTAGACAGTGTTTGTAAAATTGCCAGTCATTGTTTTTTCCTTCCAAAGAGAGGAAGGTTAGAGTACTGAGTGAGGATTTTCTAGGTGCTGCCTTAAATTCTTTATAGGGCAGTTGATGTGTGCCTATAACTATTTTTTTCTGCTTAGAATTTATATGTATATGGTCACCATTTTTAATCACCTTTGAAATTAATTTTGAATTAAATTAGCACAACCCACAGGAAGTTGAACTGGGATTTAAATTAAAATGCCGGACATAAAATAACTCTATTTCAAGCATTTTAACTTTGTCTTTGAATTACAGTTCATTTTTCTTCTTTAAATTCAAATTCAATTTGCAATTCCGCAACCTCAATTTAAATTTCTCAAAAAACTCTCAGAAATGTAATTGGAATTTACAAGGCAAGTGTGTGCTTGGGAGAGCACGAGGGGATGATTTATAGTATGGGATTACTAAAACTGAGAGTTTTGCCTCTTTCTTTTTGTGGTTGGATTTTGTCTGCTTTTTTTCTCTTCTGCTCACACCTTACTTCATTAAGCACGTCTTGCATATGTAACGTTTATGTAATATATTTTTTTATTTATTAAAATGGCAGTTTCAATCTTTTTTTTTTTGATTGTTTCCTCAGTGACTACTTTTTTTTGTTTTGCTGTACAGTGAGGGTACAGCCTAACCCTACTGTGGTGGCAGTGAGACAGGTGTTCCTGTAGCATGCGTGTTTGCAAACATATACTTGCATAATAATGTGGTTTTTATGTGTGCGTGTTGTGGCCTGTGCCTTGTCATTTTGCACCCCATCAGAACCCCCTGTATTTGTTTCTGTAGTTTATTTGGACTCATCTCTTTCTTTATCCAACCACTTGCACTGTTTTTCACTCAGTGACCCCCTTATTTCTGTCCTATTCTGCCTATTTTGCTGTAAATCACTCCCTGCAGCTTGTGCTGCTGTGTAGAATTCACTTCACAAAGTTTGCACATTTGGCTTGGGTGTTGTCTCTGTTTCAGTACATGCTGTAATTGTTTTTTTCTTTTTGGGCTCAGTCATTACTGACAATTAGAGTAGGAAAGGTCTTATGCATTCCATTGCAAATTAGATTTTGCAGTGTAAAGACTCTGTATGTTGATTATACAGATTACAATGAAATGTAGAATCAAAAATATGATGATAAATGATAAAACATTTTTTCTCCATACATTGAAAGAATACAATGACATGGGGCATTCAGACCTCAAAAAGGATTTTAAAAAAGCACCAAAAAGGCCAATGAAAGTAGTTATATGATGGCTATTTATGAAGAAAAGTACAAAATTAGAATATTTTTTCTCTTTTCTGACATAGTTCTCAAATAATTGTCATATAGCCTACTTTTATGATACATTTACAGTGCTTTATCTGGTCTATTCAATGCTGTCTGCTAGCATTGAATGGAAGTGAGCAGCTTGAACATTCAGTTAAATATCTCCTTTTATGCTCCATAGATCTCAAGTCATCAAGTCACCCAGGTTTCAAACTGCATTCATGTGAGTAAATGATGACAGAATTCACACTTTTGGGTAACTATATCCCTTTAAGGCTTCCAGTTAAACTTGAGTAGGACATGTACTGATTTGTAACCCCTTAAATGTTTATTTTTGATTTTCATAATGACTAGTTTTTTTTCCAGTGATGTGGATAGCATAACCAAGCTGTGGCCGCAGTGGAAAACAGTCCTTCCAGAGCTGCTCTAGCATGTGTGCTGTATGTTTAAAACACACATTCTTAAACACACACACACATGTGGTTTCTATAATTAACTCTTGTGCTGAAGTCACTCTGGAATTGTCCAATGGGCGGGTTTCATAAGTGCTTTTTCCTCAACTTGAAATGTGTGTGTGGTGTGTAAATGTGCAAATATACCTCCTTTTAAAAGTTTGGGGTCTGTAAGATTTTTAAAACGTTCTTTTATGTTCGGTAAGGCTACGTTTATTTCTGATACAGTATAAATAGTAATATTGTGAATATTATTACAATTTAAAATTACTTTTCTATTGCAATTTATTTTAAAATAGAATTTATTTCTGTGATGGCAAAGCTGAATTTTCAGCAGCCTTTATGCCAGTATGCCAGTTTTTGTCTTTACTGTCCCTTTTTTTATAAAAAGAATTAATTTATTTTGAAAAATAATCTTACTGACCCTAAACATTTGAACGCTTGTGTATTAGTGTGTTCATGTCTGTTTGTTTGCATGCATGGTGTGCCACAGTTGCGTTTATCCATTAAAAACTCAGAATGTATTTGTGCTTTTGTACAAACAAAAAGTGCTTAAAGATCATTTTGAATCACCGTCATCATTAAGCAGTTTACACACTCTTCCTGAAAGGAAAACAACTCCCAGACAAGTGTTTTGTTCTTTTTTTTCAGAGAAATTATGATTAATCCTTGAAAAGGAAGAAAGGAAGCCATGTCATTCTTTGGCTTAGACTGTATAAGGAAGAAAGAAAAAGGTACATGCATGACATACAGCTCTGACATCAGAACACTATCAAACCAAAGTCTTTCATAACTCAAAAGTGAATTGTCATCGTTGTGATGTATTCATTGGTTGATTTCCCCAAAAGTTTAAATGCTGTGGTGCTGTTGAAATGTTTGTTTGTTTGAGCATCCTGACAAACACTTTTTCATCAACTCACCAACTTGCCTAACCTAACCTAACCAAGCCTAACATTTGTAAAGAGTATATACAATTTCTCTCTATATTTTCTTCTAGAGGTGGAGAGGAAAATCAGAGCAAATGACAGAGAATATAACTCATCTTTCAAATATGCTGTGAGTATAAAATCAGAAAATTGACAGAAAATCGCTAATTCAAACCTACAAAAATGAACATTTATGTTTTGTCTGATGACATACCGTAGGTGTCGTCATGACATTATATCCACCAAACAGTTTCCTCCTAACAGATTGCAGTTATTTTTAGATACCTTTCTATAAAAAGAAAACACTTGTTATTTGTCATCGTCTTTCATCACATATTACTTATATTGGGAAATGACTTCCAGCATGTGTAATCTTTAGACAAACCACATCACCACATGAATCATGATATCTGAACAACTCTATTGAATCATCTTTCATCTTTTCTTCTTGAAGACCAATTCCATCAAGACCTCCAAATACAACCCCTTCACTTTTCTGCCTCTCAACTTGTTTGAGCAGTTCCAGAGGATCGCTAATGCCTACTTCCTCTTCTTGCTCATCCTACAGGTGTGTAATATCCAAGTTTACTGAGTGAAGCACTGGCAACAGTTTGCAAGACTGATATGTTCATAATATGTTTCCATTAGTACCTATAAAATAAATAAATGGATGAATAGGGATTTGAATACAAAGTCTGTCCAATTCAAAGGAAGTGAAATTCTTTCAGGATGTTTCCTCAGTTTGACATATTTAGTTTAGTCATGCATATTGTGAAGAATGGGTTTGTAACGTGACCCTGACTTCCCGTATCAAGCCTACACCCCACACATTCTAAATGACTGGATTCTTGCACAATAATGACCGTCTCATGACCCTGTAACTTCATTTACTCGCTCTTTACTAGCCTTGACTTTGAGGCAAGTCAGTTGACATCAGCCATTTTTGTTACTCATCATGGGCAGCTCTTTCCATTCATGCAAGTACAGTGACCATAGACACTAGTAAATGAATGGAGAGACTGTAACAATTAAAAATTACATGATCAACAACTGACAATAATCATATCATAAATAAATTTTTCTTAAGCTCAAATCACGCAGTCATATACGACTTCTCACATTCATATATGTGCAACGTCTCTGGCTCACAATACAGTAACTACATGTATGTTGTTGCCATTACTTTAATATCATGTTCCCACATTTAAAGCACATTAAAGGGGCTTTAATGTGATGCTGCTAAAAAGAACATTATTTTGTGTATTTGGTGTAATGAAATGTTTTTATGCGGTTTAAAGTAAAAAAACACACATTATTTTCCACAATGTACATTATTGTTTCTCCTCTATGCCCCGCCTTTTTGAAACGCGTCGATTTTTACAAAGCTCATCGGTCTGAAAAGCGAGGTGTGCTCTGATTGGTCAGCTATCCAGTGCGTTGTGATTGGCCGAATACCTCAAGCATGTGACGGAAATGTTGATGCCGTGTCCCGGCCAGAGCGATGAAACAAAAAACATGAAAACCCATTACAAACGAGGCATTTGTTGCATCCAGTGGGGACATAATTACTGATTATAATGACTTAATATGAATGAAATGTAACTGAGAACTCCCAAATCTTCTCAACTTCTGAGCAATAACATTTTCCTCTGGTCTTCTCTGTGCTTTCTTCAGGGGAGGTGTGCTGTGAGCCTCCTAACAACCGTCTGGATCGCTTTATGGGCACGCTGACATTCGGCACACAGAAATACTCTCTGGACAACGAGCGAGTCCTGCTTAGGGGCTGCACACTCAGAAACACAGACTGGTGTTTTGGCCTGGTGTTGTTTGCAGGTAATAAATTCAGGCAGATGTGTGGTGTGTGCTCTGGAGCTGTCTGGTGTCCCAGTTCAATTCCTCTTTATTACTGCAGAGAATGTGTGTGGTGTATGCTTTTGAGGGTGTAAAATGGTTTGCCAGCCCATAGACTAAATAGACTAGATAAAAACTTGACCCTGCCTACTCTGATCATTCTTCCAGCATCTCTCCTTCATACAGATATTAATCTCATAAGAAGTCTTTACTAGTTCATAATTTAGGAAATGAATTGGAGTCAGCAACACGCTTTTTTGGCTTTTACAAATATGGAAAATAGTACTACTTCCTATTTTTATTTATTTTTTGTTTGCTGTGTTCTCCGATAGGAATCTCAACTTTTATTTTACTAGACAACAAGATAAAACTTTAGTTTTCTCCCGAGTAAAACCCCAGCTTACATGTCTCCTGTAGAGTTTCAAAAGAGAACAATAGTCTCATTTTGTGCTCAGAAGATATTAAAATCTGCTCAAATAAATGCAAACGTATCATTTTCCCCCAAAACCAAATTATCTGAGCTATGCACTTTGGATTTGAGACTTTAGTCTTTGCAACTTTACAGATCTTCTTTATGCACCAAGAGCTTGTAACACTCCAAAGAGAAAGGAAAAATTGAAATAGCATCATATGACCGACCCCTTTAACATTTTTTGTTTCGTAGGTTATTCCTGCTATTTCTTCTCTGTCCTGGTTCACCACTGTCGTCCCTCTAGTCTTAGTATTAACAGTGACTGCAGCCAAAGATGCCATTGATGATATTGTAAGTACACACATCACATGTGACTATATACAACAAACTGAAGATCTATTCATTCTTTGTTCGTATTTCTTTCTTTTTCCCCTCCTGAGAGGAAACAGCAAGATCTGACTGCGATTAGACTGTTTTTGCCAAATTATTCCTTTAAAGGGATAGTCCACTCAAAAAAGACAATTCTGTCAACATTTCCTCGCCGTCATGTTGTTGAGTTTCTTTCCTCTGCTAAACACAAAAGAAGACATTTTGTATGTTGATCGTTCATAACAAAGCAGTTTTGATCCCACTGACTTCCATTGTATTGTTTGTCCAAGCTATAGAAGTCAATGGGAACAAAAACTGTTTAGCTACCAACATTAGAAAGCAATATTTCGCAGTAGAAAGAAAGTCACGCAGATTTGCAACATTTTGTTGATTATTTTATGCCACGTAGTACTGAATAGCGTTGCCCCACCAGTCATTTCTTTTGTCCCAATGTGATCCAGAGGACCTCCAGACTTTCTGCCAGATCCCAAACAGAGCTAACTCTGGGTTTCCCATGCTCATGGAAATAAACTGACATTTAGTTAATGAGACTGGCAGCTTTTACTACAATACTCCGTACACGTCAAATTTAAATGCCCTTTACTTTGGCACACAGGCGTCATCAAGCAAACTTTCCTCTGAGCAGCAGAAAATCGTAACGCGAAAGGTTACGGATCTAAAATTTGTCAGCAGTGGACTGGAGAATTTGATACAGTTAGCAGGAGTCACCTCACCCTCAGCAGGAGTACAATAGTCCTTATGTTCCTGCTGAGGGGAGTGGAGGGGAATTAGGGAATCGCACTCCTCGCCCCTCCTCTCCTCTCTCTCTAGCCTTCAAAATGAGCTGGTTTCTGGATGCAGAAGGTCTTGGCATTCTCTTCTGTCTTCAAAAATTTATTTATCCCATGAGAGCTTCTGTTACATTTTTCTTTTTGCTATTTATTTAATTTCCTACATGATTTTTTTTTCTTTGTTTTTTTTCTCTGACAGAATCGCCACAGAAGTGACAGGCAGGTGAATAACCGTAAAGTGAATGTGCTCATCAATGGAAAGTGAGTGGCTGTCAAATTTTGTTTGTCACTCTCTGTCAGTCTTGTTACCTACACACCTTTTTCAAACATGAATTTCACATGACACCAAATGCAGTCAGAGCTATTTTGCCATCAAGACGTTTTTTTTTATATTGTTTATACAACTTTAGTTTTGGTATATGATCATGACCTGAGTGTCTCAGTAATATTTATCATATCACTAATACTATCAATGGTTTCATAAATTTTGCCTCTATACTGTAGCTCAAACCAGGTGCATTTTTTCCATATTTTGTTCAGCTAATGTGCATGCACTTTCTAGAGCCCTAATCTTTGGCCCATTTAACTGAAAGGTGGGATTTAGTGAGTGTTCTTCTACAAAACTACAAAACAAACACATCAGTCACAACAGGACGCAGCTGTAGACGCATCGAAAGGTTCTTCCTCTTGTTCTGACCTGTTCTCATGATGTTCTTTAGATTACACACAAAATGAATGGCTGCTTGATTGATGCCTCAGATTTCTATTTTTGAAATAATTTTCTTGGTGGTCCCTCATCAAAGAATGTGCTTTCATAATTTATGTTGAGTTAAATAGAAACACATGACCCACACACCCTGAGTGTTGCAACTTGTTGAAATCAGAATAATGTTGTTTATGCGTTAGACATAATTTGTTCTCTTTCTTTCAAAATAGACTGATAAGCGAGAAATGGATGAATGTGCAAGTGGGAGACATCATAAAGTTGGAGAACAACCAGTTTGTCACAGTAATACATTTTACAGATTTAGATTACATTCAATGTAATGTATATCTTTACTTAATGATTTAGGATCAGATGTAAATTGATATTAAATTAACATCACCTTGTCTCGCTGTATCATCCTCACAGGCAGATTTGCTCCTGTTGTCCAGCAGTGAACCTCTCAACTTAGTGTACATTGAAACTGCGGAGCTGGATGGGTAAGTACAAGAAACAGAAAAGAGGCATTGTTGTTTTTATGTATGTGCAGCTGTATCAAATACCTTTGTGTTGTTTTAATGAAGCTGAAATATCTCATGTGAATATATATATTTTTAAGTTGGAATACTGAATGCCTGACTTCATGTTTATGTTTTCTTTGTCGCTTTTTGTCACACAGAGAAACCAACCTGAAGGTTAAACAGGCTCTGACTGTAACGGGAGACATGGGAGACTATTTAGAGGCTTTGGCTGCATTCAATGGTGAGGAGAAAGAGAGCGAGAGAATTCCTTGCTCTAGTTAAAGGGATAGTTCACCAAAAATAAAATTGTTGTCATCATTTATTACCCTCAAGTTATTCCAAACCTATAAGAGTTTCTGTTGAGCACAAAAGAAGATTACAGAATGTTGGTAACCAAAGAGGTAGATGGTTAGTTACAAGATGAAGTATTAAAAAAGTACAGACTGTTTAATGCTGCTCAGAGATGCATAAATGCAATTACAACTATATATTTTGATACTAGGAGCTGAGGAGAGTCAGAGCAGGCATAGTTTAGTCTGGCATTTTCAGTATGCAGCTTTGCAACTTTACACTGAATTTTGAGAAGGCACAGACCAGCCTTAACTTGGTTGTGGGAAGGTGCCTTATTTTAAAGAATAAAATTGAAATCGTATCCTATACAAATGATGAGGGACACACATCAGAGATGTGTGTGTGAGTTTTGCGAGATTTTGTCATTTGTCTGGGTTACTCCATGATCATACTCCTTCCATTCATAGAAAGCCAAAGGCCAAATATAAACAATTACTGACCCTGCCTACTCTGATCATTCTTCCAGCATCTCTCCTTCATACAGATATTAATCTCATAAGAAGTCTTTACTAGTTTAGGAAATGAATTGGAATCAGCAACACGCTTTTTTTGGCTTTTAATATGGAAAATAGTACTACTTCCTATTTTTATTTATTTTTTGTTTGCTGTGTTCTCCGATAGGAATCTCAACTTTTATTTTACTAGACAACAAGATAAAACTTTAGTTTTCTCCCGAGTAAAACCGCAGCTTACATGTCTCCTGTAGAGTTTCAAAAGAGAACAATAGTCTCATTTTGTGCTCAGAAGATATTAAAATCTGCTAAAATAAATGCAAACATATCATTTTTCCCCAAAACCAAATTATCTGAGCTATGCCAATCACACACAAAAAAAGTTAATATGAATGAAATGTAACTGAGAACTCCCAAATCTTCTCAACTTCTGAGCAATAACATTTTCCTCTGGTCTTCTCTGTGCTTCTTCAGGGGAGGTGTGCTGTGAGCCTCCTAACAACCGTCTGGATCGCTTTATGGGCACGCTGACATTCGGCACACAGAAATACTCTCTGGACAACGAGCGAGTCCTGCTTAGGGGCTGCACACTCAGAAACACAGACTGGTGTTTTGGCCTGGTGTTGTTTGCAGGTAATAAATTCAGGCAGATGTGTGGTGTGTGCTCTGGAGCTGTCTGGTGTCCCAGTTCAATTCCTCTTTATTACTGCAGAGAATGTGTGTGGTGTATGCTTTTGAGGGTGTAAAATGGTTTGCCAGCCCATAGACTAAATAGACTAGATAAAAACTGACTTTTAAAGGGGTCATATGATGTTGCTAAAAAGAACATTATTTTGTGTAATGAAATGTGTTTATGTGGTTTAAGGTTAAAAAAACACATTCTTTTCCACATACTGTACATTATTGTTTCTCCTCTATGCCCCGCCTTTCTGAAACACGTCGATTTTTACAAAGCTCATCGGTCTGAAAAGCGAGGTGTGCTCTGATTGGGCGAATACCTCAAGCGTGTGACGGAAATGTTATGCCCCTTACCATACTGTGATGCCGTGTCCCGGCCGGAGCGACGAGACAAAAACAATAAAACCCATTACAAACGAGGCATTTGTTGCATCCAGTGGGGACATAATTACTGATTATAATGATTTATACTGTCTTCTTACGCGTTGCGTTGCATCGCGCCGCGCTGCGTAAACATAAAACCATGTCTGCATTTGTGATCGGAGAAATGACAAACAACAAGTGCTACTCTACACTGCCCAAAACTCACGTTTGAATCGTCAGTGACAAATTCTTTAATATAAAAAAACATACTTACAGTATGTGAGTCAGAACAGCCGGCATTGTAGTCTACTCTTCCAGGATCAGGAAACAGTCCTCCGTAAAATGTGCTGCACACATTATTTGAGTTGAACTGTTCTAGAACCTTTGTGTCCTCTTTTGGAAGGCCAAACAAAGTAGTTTCGCTTTCACAACGAGAAACACAGCGTCACACACGGCGGACTAGAGTGAGCGGCGGCTGGCGGATTCGATGAAGGAGCGGCCGGCGGGCTTGCGGCAGCCACATGTGACGACACCGGGCTGGACTCCGCTTCGTCCACGGTGAAAGTCGATCCGGCGATCCACAGCGCAAAGTTTATGTATTTCCTCAGCGACCAGCACAGATCAGCTCCAGGCATGACGAAGCGGATATCGTCCTCTTTTGGAAGGCCAAACCAAGTAGTTTCGCTTTCACAACGAAACACACAGCGTCTCCACGACATGGCGGCAACAACAATACTACAGCGAGAATAAAAGTTACGCCTTCTTTCTTTGCGTGAACATTTGGGCGGCGTTATGCAAATATTCCCACATTGTGATGTAGACATGTGGGGGCGTGTTAGAATGAGCCGTTTTAGGGGGGCGTGCCTGACTCTTAACTTTTATAAAGAATATCTCTTTGGATTTCAGACTTTAGTCTTTGTAACTTTATAGATCTTCTTTATGCACCAAGAGCTTGTAACACTTCAAAGAGAAAGGAAAAATTTAAATCGCATCATATGACCCCTTTAAATAAATAATATTTTGGGTTTATGATTGAAATCATTAGTGGTTTGTTGTCTTGAAGGAAAAGTATCGTGGTTCATATATATATGTTATGTCTTCAGGCCCAGAGACTAAATTGATGCAGAACTGTGGGAAAAGCACCTTTAAGAGGACAAGTATCGATCGACTCATGAATGTACTGGTGCTCTTTGTAAGTTAAATGTCTAATCTATAGTTATTTTACCTCAAGATAAACTCCACCTTTATACAGTATATGTGACCTACTAATAATTTTTATTTAGTAAGGATGCATTAAATTATACAAAAGTGACTAAACACTTTTACTCTTAAAAAAAAAAAAAAATTTCCACAAAAAATATTAAGCAGCACAACTGTTTTCAACACTTATATTAAAAAGACCTTTGAGCAGCAAATCAGCATATTAGAAGTAGTGTGAATAAACTATAAAAAATGAACAGAAAAGTGAATATATTAACAGAAGACTATATTTGTTCATATGGTATTTAATGTAATTGGTTAGTATGTAAGCAGATGGTTGGTAACTCTGTTTGATCTCTTTGTAGATTTTTGGGCTTCTGGCTCTGATGTGTATTATTCTGGCTGTGGGGAATGGGATTTGGGAAAACCATGCAGGGTCAAAGTTCAATGCCTTTCTTCCACGGGAAGAGAACACTGCGTTTTCAGCGTTCCTCACTTTCTGGTCTTACATTATAATCCTCAACACTGTGGTGCCCATCTCATTATATGTCAGGTAGAGTGTGTTCATGCACTGCTTATGTTTGTTTTCTGTGAAAAGTAACATTAATTCAAACTGTTGAGAAAAATGTCTGAGACCACATTTTTTTTACATTTAAACCTGGAGACGAGCAGAGTTTTAGGACTTGTGTTAGGACTGTAGAACTTGTAAAATGAAGAAATATTCTGCATAGTTTCTAGGTATCGTTTGTCCTTTTGGCTGTAATGCTGCTGTAATGTTTGACTAAAATTGTTATGCAAAAACTTTTGCACTAATTTAAGAAAAGAATGTTATTTTCATTCTCTGTTTTTATATTGCAGTATGGAAGTAATTCGGTTAGGCAACAGTTACTACATCAACTGGGACAGGAACATGTATCATGCACGAACTGACACGCCAGCTGAGGCTCGAACCACAACGCTCAATGAAGAGCTCGGTCAGATCAAATACATCTTCTCAGACAAAACCGGCACGCTCACCCAGAACATCATGACCTTCAACAAATGCTCCATTAATGGGAAATCTTATGGTCAGAACCAATTCCACATGCATCAGTTGTTTCTTATATTTATAGGCCTATATTATTTCAAAAGATTGCCAAGACATAAAACTCCCCTGCAGCGATCAAACAGCCAGATACTGTTTGAACTTAAAAGTGTGTTTTCTCTGCTCTACAGGAGATGTTATTGACCACTATAGTGGACAGAGGCTGGAGATCACAGAGGTGAGAAACAAAGTCTCAAACAATGGCAAGGGGTTTTAATGAGTCTGCTGGGTTAATGAGTTTGCGTTTGGTAATAGGAAATGACACCAGTGGATTTCTCCTTTAACCGGCTTGCGGACCCAAAATTCTTCTTTTATGATCATACTCTGGTAGAGGCTATAAAGCTGGGGCTTCCAGACGTTCATGCTTTCTTCAGATTACTCGCTCTCTGTCACACTGTCATGGCAGAAGAGAAAAAGGAGGGTAAGTGGTTGTGTATAACGTGCCTTACCCTTTTACTGTAAGTGTACCTTAAAACATGCATTGTGATTTTTTTGTTTTTAATTATTAATTAATTAACTCTTAATTTACTCTGTAGGTGATCTGGTGTACCAGGCCCAGTCTCCTGATGAGGGCGCTCTGGTCACGGCCGCCCGTAATTTCGGGTTTGTGTTCCGCTCACGCAGCCCTGAGACAGTGACAATAGAGGAGATGGGGATTCAGAGGAGCTATGAGCTGCTAGCCATCCTGGATTTTAACAATGTGCGAAAAAGGATGTCTGTAATCGGTATGCTCACTGTTGATTGAACAAACAGTTTACCCAAAAATGAGAATTTCCTGAAAATGTACTCACCCTCAGGCCATCCAAGATGTAGATGAGTTTCTTCATAAGAATAGATTGGGAGAAATTTTGCATTGCATCACTTGCTCACCAATGGATCATTTGCAGTGAATGGGTGCCGTCAGAATGAAAGTCCAAACAGCCGATAAAAACACAATAATCTGACGCAACTCCTGTCCATTAATTATTGTCTTGTGAAGCAAAAAGCTGTGGATTTGTTATAAACAAATCCATCATTAAGGCCTTTTTATAAACTTCAATTCATTGCTTCTGGCTAAAATTAGAGTCCTCTATCCATAATATTGGTTTTCTTCAGTGAAAAAGTCATCTCATCTGAATCAGGAGAGAAATATACACAGATCAAGCACCGTTTACAAGTGGAACAAATATATTATATAAATATACAAATATATTCTAAACAAATATATCGGTGGGGTTTGATGTGAGAAGACAATGGGGGATTGACTTTTTCACTAGAGGAATTGTTATTACAGATTATGGATTGATTTATTTGACCAGAAGTGATGGTTTAAAGTTTAAAAAAATTAGTTTTTTTACACATATGCATCTTTTTATGACAACGTGGCATTGGAGTCATGTGGATTACTTGTGGATTATAGCGATATTTTTATCAGCTGTTTTCAATCTAATTCTGACGGCACCCATTCACTGCAGAGGACCGATTGGTGAGCAAGCACTGTAAAGCTAAATTTCTTCTAATCTGCTCAGATGAAGAAACAAACTAATCTACATCTCGGATGGCCTGGTGGTGAGTAAATTTAAAGCAAAATGTCTTTTTAGGTAAACTGTTGCTTTAAGAAGGCTCCATGGCTCTACTCATATAGTGTGTATTTTAAAATTGTGCGTCTTTCTTTCAGTTCGTAATCCAGAGGGCAAGCTCTCCCTGTACTGTAAAGGAGCAGACACCATCATATATGAGAGACTACATCCCTCCTGCAGCGAACTGATGAAGGTCACCACTGAGCACCTCAATGTGAGTCAACACCAGAGGGCTCTAGTGAGACTACAAAGAGAATATTTGTTTATCTCTCTCAGAGCTTCACATGCTATCTCACACACTTTAGACAATATAGCTCTGTTCCAAAACCTTGTGAGCTGCCTTTCTGTCTTCTGTCTACATAGGCGGTGAACTAATTCATTTTAAACTCAAATAGAACATCATAAGCGGGTGATCTCCGTAGAAAACTCTACAGATTTACCCACAATAGGAGTGCCTGTCATACACAGAGTTGCAGTATATATACTTTAAATCTTGCCCATTAAATATATATTTGATTGTGTATTCTTTCAATATCTTTTTTTTTCTCTGTAGGAGTTTGCTGGTGAGGGGTTGAGAACTCTTGTTCTAGCATATAAGGATTTGGATGAGGAATATTTTTCAGAGTGGAAACAGCGTCACCATGAGTCCAGTGTGGCGCTGGAGGACCGGGAGGAGAATCTAGAGAAACTATATGAGGAGATAGAGAGAGACATGATGGTATGAACAAAACACACACCCACACAAAGGCATAGTTAGAGGTTATAGTCTTTATATTGGCTGCTCTGTTTAATTTACCCAAAATGTTAGTTATTTTTTTGTAGAATATGATGCTAAAGTGTTTTTGTGCTGTCCTTTTTGTGTAGTTAATCGGAGCCACTGCAATAGAGGATAAACTTCAGGATGGAGTCTCTCAAACCATTGAACAGCTGACCAAAGCCGAAATCAAAATCTGGGTGCTCACTGGTGACAAGCAAGGTGCTTCATTATTTAATTCTAAAATTTCTTTATGCTATCTGAGACTCTTAATCACATCCCCAATTCTGACTAGTTTAAGTAAACCTGATGTGTTTGCATTGCTCATTTTCTGTGCTGTACATCTCCTGCTATGAAGAGAGGAATAAAGGCATTAAAGACTTATAAGTCTGCGATCCGCCGTAAAGCAAGAAGATGAAGAAGACCCGTCACGCGCCGGCTGAAGAAGAAGCCGCGAACGCACGCCGGACGGTTTGGACATTGCAGTGCCATTATAAGACTGACAGACTGCAACGGTTTGAGTTAAAAATTTTCGTTTGTGTTCTACTGAAGAAACAAATTTTCATTTTTGGGTGAACTATCCCTTTAAGCAACACAATCTCTCCGCAAAGTCTCTTTTGTATTTAAACTAAAACTTCTATTTACATTATGAAAGTGCAATGATTCAGTTATGTAACACGATGAGGTCAGTGCTTGTGTCATTTATAATCATTATGTAATGTACTAATTACCCACCATTTGTGTGTGTGTGTGTGTGTGTGTGTGTTCATGGTTGTGTGGTGTGTTATATAAGTTCCTTTAATGATAAATTACCAAGTGGCCCTCTGAAAACTTTCTTGTTTCTGTCTGTCTGTCTCTAACAGAGACCGCTGAGAACATTGGCTACTCGTGTAACCTGCTGAGGGAGGAGATGAACGACGTGTTTTTTATTGCAGCTAACTCACCCGAGGAGGTCAGACAGGAGCTGAGGTAATATATCTCATGCAGATGACATATGTATCATATATTGAGTGCTAAAACACATGGGAGAAGGCAAAATTTGGGTGGGCGTACACAAAATGGGTGTTTTATAGGGACATTTTAATGATGATCCAAAATGTAGCTTGCGACAGTATGATTCTTTTTCCTGCTACTGTTTTTAGACTTTTTGGGTATGTTTGCACAGAATTTCTGTTGTATTTATATTTAAATGGTCTCTTTTTTTGCAAAGAGATGCCTGTCTAAAGATGCGTCCTGCTACTGAACAAGACAAATTCCTTATTCCTGAGATTATCCTGGGTGATACTCCTAAAGTGGTTCAGGATGAAAACGTAAATGGAGACTACGGACTGGTGATAAATGGACACAGCCTGGTGAGAAAATGTATTTTCTCCTCTGTACTTTCTTCTGCCTAATGTCTGAATGTAATTCTGAGGTGGGTGTAGCTGCAGAGAGTAAAAGCATCTTATTTCCTCTTGGGATCTTTGTGTTCCTAGGCATTCGCTCTGGAGAGCAACATGGAGCTGGAGTTTTTACGGACGGCTTGCATGTGCAAGACGGTCATCTGCTGTCGGGTGACTCCTCTGCAGAAAGCTCAGGTGGTGGAGCTGGTCAAGAAATATAAGAAAGCAGTCACTCTTGCCATAGGTGATGGAGCTAATGATGTCAGCATGATTAAAGGTGAATTCAGCT